AAAGGAGATTTCCTAATTTGGAAAGTACTTTCACTTTAATAAGAAACATAACAAAGAGAGAATATAATGTCACTTTTCTAAAATATGGGGAGTATTGGGAATTTGTTGTTTTTCCAATAATTTGAGCTATTACTATTTGTCTTTATTTCAAATTAATCTTCTTTATTTTTTTGAACTATCACAAATTAATCTTCTTTTTTCCTTTTTTAAAAATTTTTTGTGACTAACCTATTTTCTATCTCTTATGCATTACTTTTAACCACACAATTTTACTTTTCTCTCTCTCTTGCATTGCTCTCAGCAGCCAGTTTTACTTTCTTAAACTCCGTTCAAATTCAAACAAGGAAGATTAAACTGGGACAAAGGGAGTTTTGTTTCACAAATCGCAAAATGTGGACTAAGACCCTATTTGGCAATAGCGTTAGAATTTAGCGCTTTGAAAATATTATAATACCTAAGGATAATTTTTAACGTTAGTAGTTTCAAAATTAGTTTGCACAATTAAAAATTTATTCAAAATACTAAGGCTAATTGAAACGTTGTTCCCAAACGAAGGGCACATAATTTCTAAAGCATATACTCCGTAATAACTTAAACCAAAGTCATGACATATTTAATAATACTGGATTAAAGGTTCCTCAAAAAAAAAAAAAACTGGATTAAAGGTATTTTGTTTGCCCAAAGCCAGACACAACCGATTAGTAAAGACCGAAAACCTGATTGTCTGCGTTGTGGCAATAACTTTTTCTTTTGAACCGTTAGTGCTCCTAGGTACATTTGACAATAATTTCACTCTTTACTTTTATAATTTTAAAAAAAGTTCACAACGATTCTTTTGACTTTGAAATCTCAGATTATATTATGATTCGAGACACCAAGACTGTTATGTTGATTCTTTGTACTCCCTCCGGTCCTAAAAACATGAGAATTATTGATTTTTAAGAGATTTAAGGGAAAAAAAAAGATTTAAGGGAAGTGTATTTTGGTATTTGAATTTCCAAAAAAGTCTTTTGATGTGATAGGTAAAACTAGAATTTGATGGGTAAACTATTAGTAAAAAGGTATGATGTGATAGGTAGGGTATGAAAAAGTAAGGGGTAAAAGTGACTTTTTAATGAAAATAAGAAGTGTTTTTTGGGACGAATGAAAAAAGAAAGGAGAAAGGTTTTCAGGGACGGAGGAATCGGAGTATTAAATATTGGAATAATTGTACTTCTCAAGGAATAATTAAATACATGAGAGAGTATATATATAGAGGGGATTATAATCCCAACTAAGAATATGAATCACTAATGAAAACCGATTAAAATATAAAGACTATCACAACTAATACTAACACAATTGTCTAAAACTTTTCTTTTTCAAAAAGAAAAAAAACTTTTACTTTAAATGATATTTTTAATAATTCTTTTTATTGTTTTATAAAGTTCGTGAAAAATTTATTCTTGAAGATGTCAATCACCTTAATTTCGATATAACTAAAAAATTGCCTTAATTTCGCTTTTTTAAAGTATTATTACTATAATAATAATAATGTTTAGTAGAATGCTTTTTCCTCTTTATTTATGGAAGTCTCTCACTTTGGAAGACCATAATTAGGAGACTAATTAAAGGCGTTCTGGAGTACTTACTTTAATAATTTAATTTATTGGTTCCCTTCTTTTTGAGTAATGCTAGAGTCACAAACAAAATATTTACAAAATTCACAAATTTGCCAAATATGTAAAGTAATGAGTTCAAATAATCGTCTCAAATAATTAAAAAATAAAAACTAAAGTGCATAAATAGTAAGATTGTGAATTTTGTGAGTATTTTGTTTGTGACTCTAGCATTACTCTTTTTTTTAATTTGCCTCTCAATTTTATAATGCGTGTATAAATGCATGCTGTTAATTCTTAGGTTGACATTAAGTCATTAACTAATTAATTAGTTCCACCCCCTGAAGCTAATTAAGTATTAGTAATTAATTACGGAGTAAACATCATGTGTTGTGGAAGGGTTGTTTTGTGTTCCTTATTTCTCTTGTCTCTTTCTATCTCACAAGTCTCTTCGAACCCAGAAGGTTTGCATTTTAACTTACTATCGTTTTTAACTGTCTGGTTCATTGTGTATGTCAAATATTTGACTAATTATTTGGATGCATGACAAATACTCCCTCCGTTTCTTAAAACCCTTCCTCTTTCATTTTTTTTGTTTTTCTTAAAACACTTCCCTTTTCTATTAAAAAACCACTTTTACCCCTACTTTTTCATACCCTACCTATCACATCATACTTTTTCACTATCAATTAAACTATTACATCTTACTTTTACCCATCACATCAAGGGCAAAATTGGAAAGTCAACTACAATTTAACACTTCCTTATTTTCCACCAAAGTCAAAAGAGGAGCTCTTTTGAGAAACGGAGGTAGTACTAAATAATCCTTTTATACTCTAACATGACCTTTCATGTGGATGTGAGGTCAGTTTGTGTTTGTTGGAACCTAGCTCTTACACATTAACATTAGTTTTTTTTTTGTTTTTAAAACTGAATGAAACTGATATTCAATTGCGTGACGCGTGTGATCTCCATGTCAACGGGACTTTGTACGATATCAACAAATCAAGTACTACGTAAATCACAAGTTCAAACTTATATTTCCTCCGTCCCATAAAGATGTTCTCATTTTAATTCTTAGAAAATTTAAGTGAGAGAAGTTTTTGTGTTGAGTTTCCAAAAATACCCTTGATGTGATGGATAAAAGTAGGATGCGATGAGTAGATTATTAGTAAAAAGATATGACGTGATATGTGGGTTAAAACTAGTGAAGGTAAAAATGAGTTTTTAATAGGTTAGATAGATTTTAATAAAACTGGATCAGTTAATAACTGGGTTAACTCACATTTTTTTTGTGTGTGCAAGACAGGTGATATATTGTATGCACAAAAGCAATTATTTATTAATGATGCTAACAATTGTACATACAATTGGGATCAAAACTCGGCTGACCCATGCACGTGGTCTGGTGTTACATGCAACAATGACCCAACTCTCCCAACTGTTACACAACTGTAAGATCATAAATCTTGCAAGATGTGTCAATCATTCACAATTAATTTTGATTATTATATACGGTGTGTGTGTATATATGTGTGTGTGTGTATATACTCAAGTTTTGATTTTGTCCATTAATAATTTTTGCTTTTAAAGAAATACTGTAAACGATACAGAAGTATAAACTAATTTTCAAAATGAGTATAATGAGATGTTGAGGTTTAATATAATTATTCATTAATGCTCTCATAAACATAATTATTTCATTAGTGGTTGTTACGTTATTGGTACACATTTCAACATATATACTTACACGGTTATATATATATTTGTATTTTAGTTTACTGGTAAATTGCAGTTTTTCGGGCACAATAAGTGGAGGGCTTGGCAACCTCATTAATTTGGAGAAATTGTGAGTTACCTTCTCAATTTACAATTTACTCCCTTTGATATCTTTCAATATATCAGAACCTTTTTATATATACTCCGTATATAGGTTTGGTGAAACTTATATCTTTTTTTTCAGATTTTAATTAGAATTCATACTATATTACTATATCATACATATTGCTTCAGTCCCAAATAAATAAGTTGACTTAATTTTGCCCATTTTTTTAAAAATGTTTCATATTGATGAATAATGTTATTGAAGAATTGAGTTTATGAATTGTGAAGGACTCTGGATCACAATGGCATAACTGGTAACATTCCGGAGGAACTGAAAAATTTAAAGAATTTGACAGATTTGGATCTCCAAAGCAACCGACTAGAGGGCCCCATCCCCGAGTTCTTGTGCTATCTCCCAAATCTAAAGAACCTGTAAGAACTACTCCCTCCGTTCCACCAAACCCTTCCCCTTTCGTTTTTTTTGAATTCCCTAAAACACTTCCACTTTCTATTAAAAAACCACTTTTACCCTTACTTTTTCATACCCTACCTATCACATCATACTTTTTCTCTAATAATCAATCCATCACATCTTACTTTTACTCATCACATCAGGGGCAAAACTAGAAAGTCAACCAAAATTACACTTTCCTTATTTTTGCCCAAAGTCAAAAGTGGAAGGGTTTAAAGGAACGGAAGGAGTAATAAACTACTTTGAACCTCTTCACATCCTCTCTTCTGATTATATTTGATCCAGTTTTATTAATATCTGATCTAATCTCATATAATCTAGCTTGATTTGACTATTTTAGGGGTGTGCATAAAGAAATCTGATACTCCCTCCGTCCCTTTGAGTCTTACCCATTTTGACTTTTTAGCAAAATAAGGGGACAAATTTTTTGCTTTGACTTCCCCAATTTACCCCCCAACCCTAATCAAAAAGCAAAATTGCAATCAACTCATAAATAGTGTAAAGCAAAATTTTATAGCAAGTGGCGTACTCATCACATTAACTATGGCAGGGCAATCATACCCCAAAAAACCCATCCGTACTGCCCATGTCTCAAACTACAGGAATTACATTCACCATCACCATACATTACATTCATTAAATTTGTTTAGATGGTGAATTTTTTTGGGAAAATTTGATATTCCCTCCAAAACACCCCTCCAAAACCAAAACAAAAAATTACAAATTCATACAGGCACTGCATATTTAAATGAATGCATTGAATACATTCATTTCACTTATCTTCTTCACTTCATTACCTTCATCTTATTACTGGCCCGGTTGCCTTTAATGCCCCCTCCCGAGCAGCCTTCTTCACCTTCGTCTTTATCAACACATGACTCCTCGTCCTTGCACCATCTACCCGATGTTATAGAAGTCCCCTTCGACAACCTTTTCACCCCTGAAACGGAAACAGAAACAAAAACAGAAGCACAGAGTAAAGGAGCTCAACTTAATCAAAAAAGAAAAAGAGTTGCTGATGTTTTACTAGAAAAGTCTAAGGATGGCAAACTTCAGCACGGTTTAATCAGCAAAGTTGCTGAGGAATTCAGCTTTACAAGGAAAACCGTGAGCAACATTTGGCAAATTGCTAAAGCACAATTGGAGTCCGACCTACCTATTGATGTTCAATGCCATTGGAAAGGAAGTTGTGGCAGAAAAAAGGGTGCCTGTAGACATGGAAAAACTGGCAGCTATCCCGCTGTCTAGACGCAAGAACATGCGTGCACTTAGCTTTGGCATGGAGGTTTCAAAATCCACAGCCCACCGATGGCTAAAGCGCAAAGATATAAGGAGACATTCAAGTGCTATAAAGCCATACTTATGTGAGTCAGGTAAGCAAAAAAGACTGAAATTCTGTCTTGACCATATATGTCCTCAATCACTCCCCATAAGCCCAACTTTTCATGATTTTTATGATCACATTCACATTGATGAAAATGGTTTGAAATCACCAAAAAAACACAACATTCTACGCTCTGCCAGAGGAACCTGACCCCCACAGAACCACTCAAAGCAAAAGCTTCATACCAAAGATCATGTTCCTGGCTGCAGTAGGCAGACCAAGGTATGGGGAGGGTGGAGATGTGTTATGGGATGGGAAAATTGGCATTTTCCCATTCACTTTTGAACAGGCAGCGCAAAGGTCTAGTAAAAACAGGCCTGCAGGGACATTGGAAACAAAGGCTGAACCAACTGTGAATAGAGATGTTATGAAGAGAATGTTACTGACTAATTTGATACCTGCAATTAAGCAGAAATGGCCTGGGTCATCAAGGGATATTATTATCCAACAAGATAATGCTAAGCCTCATGTGGATGGCAATGACCCTGAAATTGTTGCTGCTGCTCAAGAAGGGGACTGGAACATTCAACTGAAATTCCAGNTGATCTAGGATTTTTTAGATCCATTGACTCAGTACAAGACCAAACAGCTCCTAGGTCATTGACAGACTTGGTTAAGTCTGTTACAACAGCCTTTGAAGAACTATCACATGACAAACTAAACAATGTCTTCTTAACTCTACAAGGGGTGACGGGTGAGATACTCAATCACAATGGAGGAAACCAATTCAAAATTCCTCATATGGGAAAAAGTAAGTTGGCCAGACAAGGAATACTACCACAGAATTTGGGAGTAAGCACAGAAGTGTATGAGAATGCAAAAAAGTTCTTAGAGGAACATATGTAAGTACTTAATGATTAAGTACTTTTTTGTTGTGTGTGCAAAGATGGCCAAGGAAAGGTACAATACCTATATGTACTTCCAAGTGAACCTTTTGCACATTCTTTTTGCTTTTTGTTGGCCTAGAATGTCATTTTTTGCTTTTTGTAAAAGTATATCATATTTTGATCAAGTGTAGCATATAATAGGGACTGCACATTTTTTGCTTTTTGTAAAAGTATATCATATTCTGATCAAGTGTAGCATACAATAGGGACTGCACATTTTTTGCTTTTTGTAAAAGTATATCATGAAGTGTATCAAGTGCAGCAAAGTTTTATTGGAATGAAGTGTATCAAGTGCAGCATTGTTCTTTAGAAAATATTTTAGGAATCAAGTGTAGTAAATGAACCAGAGAAATATATAGAGGCAATAGAATCAAGTGTAGGACCTGGCCTAATCAAGTGTTGTAAATGAACCAGAGAATTAGAAAGAGGCAACCCATGTTGTAATCAAGTGTAGGACCTGCCCTAAGTCCATGTTTAGTGTAAAGCAAAATATTATAGCAAGTGGAGTACTCAACTGCCCATATGTTTCAAACAGGGATTACATTCACCCAATTCACCATCAAACCCCAAATTTTCACCACCAAGCCCCTCTCACAGAACAAACAATATGGTAGACCAGACCAATACAGTGTTGTAAGTCTCCAACCATAGGGGGTGACATTACAATATAGCTAAACCCAAAAAAAGCTCACAGACTTCCAACCATTCACACAAAGTTTGTTTGCATCATAAGTTTGCCAATAAACATTATACGGAGTATATAATGGGATATGCAAGTACTAATCGTATGTGAATCTAAAGAGGAAGAACATAATACTCTGTCTGAAATGCAGTGCTTTAGCATCATCTCCATAGGGCTCAGCGAAAATTATTTCTGTATCAGACATCTCCAAGATCTGGGCAGAAGTTACTGATTCCTCATCTTCCCCATCAGATTTGACACTGCCTCCTTCATCCTCAGACGGAAAAAAGTCACCCCCCAAATATTTTTTCCAATACCACCACGTCGGATCTGTATCATCCGTGCCAGATGCGCTATCACCAGAGTCGTATGGAGGTATTAGAGATTTTTTAGATTTAGGAGGTGGCTTGGGAGATGCTCTTTCATCTTCGCTGTCGCTTAAAAGCTTGAAGGAGGTGAATTCTTATGGGAAGGAGGTATGGAAGATATAGATCTGATGATTGAGGGTGCCGGCGGCGATGGGGAAGAGGAACAACAGCCACAGAGAGAGGGATAGAGGAGAGAAGATGAAAGGATGAGGGGATGCGTAGGAGAGAGGATGAATGGATGGTGAGTGGGGTAAGAGGGTGGGGGTAGAAATTAGGTTTAAGGGTAGGAATGTCATTTTTAGGCAAATGTGTAAATGTTTGTGGGACAAAAATTTTATGAAAGGGGTAAATCTTTATGGGACGGAGGGAGTATGATAATAGATTAGTTATATTATTTATTAATTAGTAGTTATTTAATACTCCCTCCGTCCGAAAAAGATTTACACGTTTCAAAAAAATTGTGTCCCACAATCCCTTACCCATTTCTATTAAAAAACCACTTTTACCCCTTACTTTTTCAAACCCTACCTATCTCATCATACCTTTTTTCCTAATAATCTACACATCACATCCTACTTTTACCCATCACATCAAGGGTATTTTTGGAAAGTCAACACAAAATTATCCATCCCTTAATTTCAACTTTAGTCAAAATGGGTAACACTTTATGGGACGGAAGGAGTATTCAATAGTTAATGTTATTGAGGGTTTTTAGTATGGGCCCGAGCCCATTAGTTCAAATAGGGTTAGCATTAGGGTTTCTCTATCTCCTATAAATAGCGATGTAATTCTTTTATTCAATCAAGCAATAAAGAAATATCAAAAACCCTAATCCCTTCTCTATTCTCTTGGAGCCTGGAAACGCTCGAAGTTTTCCATCTTTCTTTACCTCATCTTCTTGGAGCTTGAAGAATGCTCAAAGTTCTTCCCTATCCGATACGGCATTCGTATCAAAATCTCTTCAAATAGAACTAAAACATAGAAAAGTATTAAAATAGAAAGTGTGTGTTGTTATCCTTAAATAGGAGTTCATAATGTGATAATGTGACATTGTACATGGACATTTCACAATATTTTTTTAGTAATGTAATATGATCATGATTGACACTATAAATGCATTTTAACTCCTATTTCGGGAATAAAAATATAGAGCTTTTACTTTGGTATAGAATAAATGTATTACTCTTACTTTAGTCGATCTTTTTCTCTTAGGCATATTCTGTTATGATCGATTTTAATTATATTTAAAACTATTTCTGATCTGTTTGATCACCATAATAATAAGTATTACTTCCTCTGTCCCTTAAAGTTCTTTCCATTTTACCTTTTAACAAAATTAAGGGATAGACATTTTTGTGGTGACTTTCCAAAACTTCATTTAGCTTGATGTGATGTACTAATGGCTAAATAAACCTAGCTACTCCAGGATAATTTTTTTTGAATATATAAATAAATTCATTTCCCTATTTTAATGGTTGGTCAAAGTTTTATGTTAAGGTGTATTGATAATGAAATATGGCAAATACTTTGGTAGACTTTATGTCGACTTTGATTGTGTGAACCTTATTTGAAATGTTAAACCTTGTACCATCTTGATGGGTCTTTCTAAGATTTTGAGCCTACCACATTAAAATCTTTGGTGGTAAGGTAAAAATTGACTTAGTAAGGTTAAAAATAGTTTTTTTAATAAAAAAGAATAGAATTATATAAGACAAAAATAGAGAAGAAATTTATGGACAGAGGGAGTACCTACGCAGGTCCATATGGACCTCAGGAATTAGGACCACCAAATCTCTTCACATGAAATATAGAATCAGATCTAAAGACCAATTTGAAAATAAAAAAATGCTAGGGGTACACCAAAGGGGTACCCCATATGTCCCCCACCTCCTCCTTGTTCACATAAAAAGCCAAGAAATTCAAAAATAAATAAATAAATAAAAATCAAATAAAAATAAGTAGTGGAGAAGGGGGTGGTGTACATTTGGGGTACACCTTTAGTGTACCGCTAGCATTGCTCTTAAAATAAACATACTCCCTTAAAAAAGAAGGATCTCATTGTATTTTTTTGCACATGAACCTAAATTATATTTTAGCACAGAAATCTAATTATGCCTTTCTCATGGTGTGAAAATGTGAATTGAAGGTTTCTTAGTGATAACCCGTCGTTGGGTCAAGCTCCCCAATGCTTACTAGACAAGCAGCAGCAACACCAGATTACCACGTAAGTATGTTTGCGAAAGAGATGTTATATTTACATTTTTTTGTATTTATTTTAGAAAAAATATTTATACTAAATAGCACAAAAAGTTAAGTTATTTCTCTAAATAGCACTTAAATTGTTTTATTCCTTAAATAGCACTTAATAATGTCCATAATGTCCAGTGATGACGAATATTTACTTGAATAATGACCAATGTATAATGACTAAAAGTGCTACATTGGAAAAAACACATATTTAGAGAAAGTCATTATGTTTTAGTGTTATTTAAGAAAATTCTTCTTTATTTTATTCATAAATGATTGTTCCTTTACTATCTAAAAAAAGAATCCTCCTTTTCACATGGTCTAGTCCCTCCCCTCGATAGCCGATTGATAGTATAAGTTGTTCTGCCAATCGACGGTCCAGAAGATGCAGGGACGTCTCAGGTCTAAATGGAGTGAAGAGAGAATTAGGAGAAGAATCCATTATTTTTATGAATGAAATATCACAAGTGTCAGATGTCTTATGATGTCAAAACATCATATCTAGTGTGATGTCGATATGTGGAAAAAATATAGTGTGTTACTATACGTTCAGATTTAATGTATTCATTTGACTTTTTTTGGTCAAATTAAGGATTATAAATTTTGATCTCGAAATGTGGAAAAGATAATGTGTTGCGATATGAATGTAATACCAATAGTTGTCTTCTAATATAGTAAAAGAAATATTCTTTAAAAAAAGTAAAGAAAATAATTTTAAAAACACAAGAAAAGAAAATAAGAAAAATAATACAGGGAGCAATGAGTACCTAAAAGATAGGAGAAATTATGGCTAATTATCTTCTAAATAAAAAAATAGAATCCCAATTGAATAAGGAAGCTAATAAAAGAAATTGAGAAGCACAAGTCCAAAAGACAAAGATGGCTACTCGGGATCGAATAAGTCCTAAACAAATAAAAAAATGTTAAGAGTCTTATCCAGAAAAATCTATTATCTTTTAGTCATATTAGTTACACATTTTATTTCATTTTATAAAAATTGGGATAGGACCAGTCATATCTACTCTAACATTTTACAATGGAAAGTTCCAAAATGTCCAGCATTTGAGAAAAATGATCTATTACACCATTCAAGTAAAATAAGACATAATTAAAAATAATTTGAATAGTCGTTGAAATAATTAGTCATTGTCCATCACTTGTTGCTAATGATCGCATTCGTATAACCATTCGTGTAACCAGTCATTATCCAATAGAATTATGTATCATAAATGAAATACTCCGTAAAATATATTTGGTCCCATTCAAAAAAATGTACTACCTGATAATCCTATATGGAGCAAATTTTACATAAAAGATTTTATTTGTATAAAAAACTAATGTTTCAATGTACATATAAATATATATATATATTTGTCTAACACTATAACACTCTTACTCATAAATATGCAAATATATGTATAGGGATTTTGCATTTTCGCCGCCGTCCAGTGTTGGTTCCGATTCAAGTTCGACTCCTCCCATAAGGTAAAAT